TTCAGAAAGTGAGGATGCAACCATCCTGCTATCACACTACTTCAGAACTCTGGCTCTGATGGCCTATGAGACATCAGGTAGGAAAACTCCTGCCCACTGCAGCCTCCCCTGCACAGCATTTCAGATTGTTTTTTGCCTAGATGTGACCAGGGGGCTTTATTATTTTTGCTCTCGGGAAGTAGGCAGAGGGTTGGAGGGCAGGTTAAAGAAAAGGGATATCTCACCACCATATACTATACGAGGTAAAGGAGACTAAATGTCACAGGAGAAGGCTTTGCAGCCCTGTCCCTGCTCACCCTGTAGATGCAAGGGGCATACCTTTTGATTTCTTCCCTCTCCTCACCCACCTGAAATAACAGTGAGAGATGTAGTCCTGCTCAATTCCTCAGACAATTAGTCAGTAGTTGTAGGGCTGGAATAAGGATCAACTAAAGCCGTCACCCGCCCACAGAGCCCTACCTCAGAGTAACTGCTCATCTGCACCAGGCAGGAGAGCTGTGGGAGCAACTTTAAAGTTGTGCATCCCCCTTGACTGAACCGGGACATTAAAGCTCCAGGCAAAACCCCAACCATAACAAGTGAACAGCAATAAGAAATCCTATGTTCCTGCTCCTCTGGAAGAGCAGAAGAGGTACCTGAGAGTAGAAAATGCTATGTCAGAGACATTGATTGTTATTTTACAAATGAAAGAAGACCAACACATTTCCTGGCATTAAGTGCACCATGACTGTGTCCTTTTTCTGAGGTTTTCCAGTAGAAAGATACATGGATAAGGTCAAGATCTGAAATTCAAAGCCTTTGGCAAAATCATTTTATTCTCATGGCATCCCCACAATTTAGGTCTCGCTGAGGCAGCCACAGCGTCTGCCTACAATTCCCCGAACAGCTGCATTCATTCCTAAGGGAGTAGATGAACTTCTCTTTTCCGGGGGCTTTTCCCCAGAGTTTGCTGCAGGATTCCACTCTGTCTCCAGCACCTTTCAGTATATGTTGGGTGCTGCTGAGGAAGACCAGAAAGGAGTAAAAGCACCTGTTCCATTCCCCCATCATGAGCTGCACTCATTTGCCAAATCTGGGCAGTTTCACAACAGCAAGTTTTAATGTGGTAATCAGTAATGAGAAGAGAACTTCCTTGTTTGGCCAAAGACAATTCACTTTCACAGGATTCTTCACTCTGTGGGGTTCCAGTGTTTGATACTAGTCAGCCTGATTCTGAAGAGAAGTAAACTGCATCTTGAAGTGAAAGGTTGCCAAATCTGGGCTCTCGATTTCTAGCAACAGCAAGTTGTACAATTAGGGACACCTTTATATAGAACATCCTGCTGCCAACACTAATAGTTTCCATGGGAATTAATAACTTGAGTGTGCCTGCTAAACACAGAGACCATGGGGAAGCATAAGAGGAGACATAGTCTGAAGTAGTGTTTCTCAACCAGTGGTGCGGGTACCCTTAAGGCTACTCAAGAGAAGTCTGGGGGGTACATCAACAACTGAAATTTGGAAAAAACTGAATTTGTTATAAGTTTTACAGCGCTTTATTATTTTTTTACTTTTTACACCCAAAAATTTCATTGCCTGCCCAGCTACGATTAAGTAGTTTAACCAAATGTGTTGCAATGGTAGGATAAATAGTATATGTCTGAAAACTGTAGGTAATGGGGGTACTTATAAAGGGGTACTTAATAAAAAAAAAAAAAAGGTTGAGAAACACTGGCCTGAGGCATCAGGTCTAAGGTTTTGTCTACACATAATCCACTACAGCAGCACTGTAGTATTGGGATGTTACCGTGTAACTGAATAGTCATGTAACTGCATGAATTCTTAGTGGTTACATGGCTATTTGATCGTTCCAGGGGTGGGGCCAGCAGCCAGTGTGCTCCTGGCCCCACTGCCAGGGAGCCCTTGCCACTCCTTGGCGTTGCCTCTTTATTAGAGGCAGCAGAGCAAGGTGGCAACATGGGAGCCAGTCCGCATTGGGATCTGGTTTAAAAACTGGCTTCCTGTGCAGACCAGCTGCCTGTATCAGAGGCAACAGCGCAGGGTAGCAGCAGCCTCTGTCCATGGGGGTTACAAGCTCCCCTTGGACAGCGGCTGGCGCCCATCGAGC